TCACAGTAGTGTAATCCGTAGCACGAGTCTGCAAAGAACAAGTGCCCAACTGACGCTCTGGTACCACTGTTAAGAACAGGTTCTTTCCAAAACAACCATGGATCCGAGAAAACAATTAAGAACAACTCAAAGGAGGAAGAAATCAAAAATATTGAATAAGAACGGCTCAGTTCCCTTTTTCCAGTGTTCATACAGTCGATCCAAGGTCTGGTGGTAACACCAACTGAAAACAAGCACCAAGCAACAACCACTGATCCAAAACCCTAGATCTGACCCCCAAACCTCACTCTGAGTTGACTCACCAACACATGCACAGTCAACTTAGTGGATAGCTCACCCTCTCCACTCAGCACAAACCCAGATTTCTGCACTCAAAGTACCGAAACCCTCACAGAAGAGGATTAAGGCCAGGGAAATCACAGTTTGAATAAAAGGTGAATCACACTTGTCTCTCTCTCTCTCTCTCTCACCACAGTATAAATACACGGAGTTTCAACGGTCTTCAGCATTAAATGTGCTGCGACGGCAAGGACACCCATTGTCCGGCCAGACCTGCGACGGTATCGCCGGAAAACGACAATGGGTGACGAAACACTGTAGAGAGAGAAGGGGACAAGGTGAAGAGAGAGAAACGACGCAACAGAAGAATGCTGCTAGGGTTGAGAATGATTAGAAGTATGGGGCAAATGGAGGGCTCAGATTGAAGCCCTAAAATAAACGGTTCAGATCTTAGTTTGACTGGATCAGTGGGCTTTAGTTGCATTGGGCCCAATTTCACAAGTTGGGCTGTATTTGATTAAGTAATCGGCCCAGATCACAAATAGATCATTTCTATTAAGCTCAAAACTTAACAAATTCTCCACCTGAGACCAATAAAAGGATTATTATGAACACACTTAATGGATTGGGATCATCATTGCCGTAACTTTGAATCTTAAACACTAATCACACAGATTGTAGTAGAAGATTCAAAAGTATTTTTCCACGAAGGAGGAGATCACCAAGATACAGAAAATTATAAAATCACAGAGAAGTTAAAAGATAACAGAAGCTATCACAGAGAAAGCAAAAAAAAAGGCTTGCACACAGCAAGCAGACACACATGTCTGTTTCAATCATGTTTTTGAGACAATGTTCAAGATTCTCAAACATGATCTCATTTTTTCCACAGGTAGGCACTTAGTTCCCATGTCAGTAGGGTTGAATTCAGAAGGAATTTTCTCCAGGTCCATCTCACCTTTTCCCACCTCTTTCCTGATAAAGTGGTATTTTATCTCAATGTGTTTTGTTGTGTCATGAAAAACAGGGTTCTTGCATAATTGTATACCTGATTGGCTGTCAGAAAAAACCACAACTTTACCTTTCAAGAAACCAATTTCTGAGAGCAGCCCTTTCAACCAGAGGGATTCTTTTACAACCTCAGTAGGTGCAATGTATTCAGCCTCAGTGGTGGAAAGGGCTACAATATTTTGAAGCTGGGATTTCCAGCTAATACAAGAACCACACAAAGTAAACACATAGGATGTGGTGGATTTCCTATTATCTCTGTTGTTGGCATAATTAGAATCCACATAACCACATAAGACAATTCCTTTTTCACATTTAGTAAATTCAATCCCTATTCTAACTGACCCTCTTAGATATCTCATTAACCACTTTACAGCCTCCCAATGAGGCATGCCAGGATTAGCCATGTATCTACTCAAACAGCTTACAGCATATGCAATATCAGGTCTAGAACTTACCATTAAATACATGATAGAACCAATTGCATTAGCATAAGGAACAGATTTCATGTCACACATTTCAGGTTCAGTCTTTGGGGACTGTTCCTTACTTAGCAAAAAATGAGCAGCTAAAGACACAGACACAGAGTTGGCATTTTTCATGGCGAATTTATCTAAGATTTTTTCCACATAGGCAGATTGGTTCAGAAACAAAGAACAATCTTTTATGTTCCTAACTATGTCCATACCCAGAATTCTCTTTGAATCACCAAGAAATTTTCATGTCAAAATTTTCACTCAAACAATATTTCACATGATCAATAGCTTTTAAACAAGGGCTGGCAATAAGCATGTCATCCACATAGATTAACAGGAACACAGGAAATTGGCAATTATCTTTGAAGTACAAGCATGGATCAAATTCACTTCTTTTAAATTTCAAAGAGAGCATGCAAGAGTCAAATTTTTTGTTCCACTGTCTAGGGGACTGCTTAAGGCCATAAAGAGATTTCTTTAACAGACAAACATAATCAGGATTAACAGAATCAACAAAGCCTTCGGGTTGAGACATAAAAATTTGCTTATCAAGATCACCATGCAGAAAAGCTGTTTTAACATCCATTTGCTTAAGTTCCCAATCAAAGTGAGAAACTAGAGCAAGTAAAATTCTGACAGTGGTGAATTTCACAACAGGAGCAAAAATTTCAGTATAGTCAATACCCTCTCTTTGTGTAAAACCTTTAGCTACAAGCCTAGCTTTATACCTAACAGAATCAGATTCATGCTTAATTTCAAAGAGCCATTTACATTCAATCACAGAGCACTTAGCAGGTTTTGGGACAAGAGTCCAAGTATGATTGACATGCAAGGAGTTAATTTACTCTTTCATAGCAGATAACCACATAGCAGATTCTGAAGATTTTAAAGCATCTTTGTAGCACTTAGGTTCATTACCATCTAAAGCATCAAATACATTGAACACGTAAGATGCAAGCTGAAAATTGTCAAGATGATGAGGTTTCCTAATTTCTCTTCTAGGCCTATCCCTAGAAAGTTGATAATCATGCAAATCATCAATATCAGGCAAATCAGACTCAACATTTTGATCAAACACATTTTCAGGCACAGAGGATGAATCATCATCATCATTCTCAATTTCCTCATTTCCAAGAGGAGATTTCTCCATCTCAATTGGAGCAGAGGGAGGAACAATAAATTATTGTACATCAGTACGAGAAACAGATAAAGTGGCACTGTCTAATCAGGGCCAGCTCAATACCCTTTGTCTCACTCTATACTTTAAATTCATGCCCTTTCATATACTTTTATCTATTATTCTACTCTCTTTTTTAGGGATAATTACATTTTAGTCCCTCATACTGACATTATTTTCACTTTATGTCCTCTATTTGCCACATTGTTAACAAATACCATTCTAATATTAAAAATTAGCAAAAGTCACCCAATTAAATACTTCAGACTGCAGTATAGGACCAATATCATTTTACCCGTTGACTGATAGTGTGAAGACATAAATACCTCGGGGGTGTCTTTTTCAACTAGAAAAATATATACTTTTGCAAGAACATGAACTTAAGAGTAACAATTAATATTCTTAAAATACAAAAAGAAAATAATAAATACTTAATTTTTTTGAATACATATATGATTATATATTAGTCTAACTATATTAAAATTATTAGGGTAAATAGCACTTAATCTCCTTGTGGTTACAGGCTTTTGCATATATGACCCCCTTGTTCTTGTAATATCAGCACATAACACCCTTGTGGTTCATGGGGTAGCTTTCGTTGACTTGATAGAGTAACCAACGTAAAGATGGTATGGTTGCGGCTAAACCTTAGGGGTAATTTAGTCTTTTTCAGTTTTCTATTCGAAGGGGTTATGTGCTAATTTCATACCATAAGGGGGTTATGTGCTAATTTCATACCATAAGGGGGTCATGTGCTAAATGTCAAAACCACAAGGGGGTTATGTGCCTAATTTCATACCATAAGGGGGTCATGTGCAAAATGTCAAAATCACAAGGGGTTATGTACTTAATTTCACACCATAAGGGGGTCATGTGCAAAACGTCCAAACCACAAGGGGGTTAAGTGCTATTTACCCAAAAAAATAATTAGAAAAGGCCAACTTAGAAAGAAAAAAAAACTCAAATTCAGCCCTAATTCATCCGTTGATTGTTAGTTGTTGACGGTCAAACAGACGGAGGGACGAAACGTGTCATAAGTCGGTGACAGGAGTATTTTTATACCAGGTGAAGGTAATATCAAGTGAGTTTTTACGGTTGATCTAATGTGGGTGTGTGTGTGTGTTTGTGTGTATATGAATGGTAAAGATCTATTCAGAGCATTTCGTCCGGTGTAGCACCGTATAAAATGTAATTTCACTCATATTTTTTTTATGAGCGTAGTGTAATTTGTTTATTTGTGGGAATATTATATTGACGTCGATATCTGTAGTCTCGTTCATTTCTAATGTAAAACACCACTTGCAGGGGCGGATCCAGACCAAAATGTGTTCGGGCGGACCCTGTATAGAAGAAGATTTAATTTTTCGGTCGGGGACAAAAGCACACGTTAATAAATATTAGGGTAAGTTTCATTTTCCTCCATTGTACTTTGCATCGATATCATTTTACTCTCTTCTACTCTCGATTGCATCAATTTGCCTCCCCCGTACTCGAAAATTTGTCTCAATGTGGCCCTCGCCGTTAGTTTTCGGACTTTTGACCTTAACACCGTTTGATTTAAGTGTGAAATACAAAAATGTCACCCCTCCCAGTTTATATAATTATTAAAAGAAAATTTTAAAAGAAAAAGAAAGAAAAAAGTAAATTGTGGTTCTCGTCGTTGACTATACATGCTTTCTCGTTGTCTTGAATTTTATTTAGTTATTTTTTCTTAATAATTATTTAAACTGGGAGGGGTGGCGTTTTTATAATTTCAGAAGTTCAACTAAAGGTGTTAAGGTCAAATGTCTGACAACTAACAGCAAGGGCAACATTGAGACAATTTTTCAGGTGCAGGGAGGCAAATCGATACAATCAAGAGTAGAAGGGGGTAAAGTGATACCAAACCAAAGTACAAGGGGGAAAGTGAAATTTAACTTAAATATCATGTCAAAAAGTAATTAAAACAAATATTTTTTTTATTTTTCTTGGAGTGGCGGGTGACCAGTTGCATGAAATTTCGCTTATTAATAAGACATCATGTTCTTCTACATTTAGATACAAAAAATTGAAGTGACCAAATGGCGGCCTTATCAGCAGTTCCTTCCATGGAAGACCTAAAGATCAAGTTCCAAGAAAGCTCTCTTATCTTCCCATACAAAGAAACACCGAAAAAATCGATTTTCTTGTCCAACATCGATCAAATCTTGAACTACGATATCCCGACAGCCCATTTCTTCAAGGCAAACCCAGCTTTCCCGCCGGAAATCATGTGTAATGCTTAACTGCTAAAAAAAGTCTATGAATTAAAAAAAAAAATTAGCAAAAACCCCCTTATATAATATTTTTATTAGCTCACTGAACCGACCTATTGTGATTTTACTCATTGACCAAAGATGAAAAGACAAATATACCCTTCAATTAACAACATAAAATTAGAATTATCATATAATAGAGGCCTAATTGCAATTTTACTAAACTTCTGAAAACTTAAATTTAGGGGACTGAATTGTAATATACCCAAAATCATCAACCACTAACCGTCTGAATAATTTGAGTAAATTGCAAAAACTATCCATGTGTAATGCTCAACTCCTAAAAAAAGTCCATGAATTAAAAACGAGTAAACTACAAAAAGTACCCCTGTGTTATCTCTAAATAGCGAAAACCCCCCTATGATAAATAAACTAGCAAAAACCCCCCTGTAAAATTATTTAAATAGCACACTCGACCCATTTCTCATTTGAGTGTTGACTTCATATAAAAAGACACAAATACCCTCGGGATTTTGCAATTAATAAATTCTTATGTTTTTTAAATATTTTAATTATTTTATTTTTGTTATATCATAATATAAAGGTACAATGGGGTCTTTAATTTATTTTTATTTTTATTATCACATAATTTTTGTATATATTTTAAATTATCGCTACATCAAAAGAAAACTTTAATTCCATTATTATTTATTTAAAAAAATCTATACTTAATTTGATTAACAAATTTTTAATTATTTTCTAATTTAATTATTTACTATTTTTTAACAATATTTTAATTTCTAAACAATCAAATTAAAAGGAAAATATATATACATATAAATACATTTTTAGGGTCAATTTCGTCATTTCACGTCCAAAAACCAACTACCAGTCGCGCAACCCGCGAGTGAGCCACACTTAATTCAACCGGGGTTTTTTTTTTCCTTTGACTAAATTTCACAGGGGTTTTTTTGCTAGTTTATTTATCACAGGGGGGGTTTTGCTATTTGGAGATTACACATGGGTACTTTTTGCAGTTTACTTAATTAAAAACTTATTTAGCAAAAACCCCTTATATAATACTTTTATTAGCTCACTCAACCTATTGTGATTTTACTGATTGACCAAAGATGAAAAGACAAATATACCCTTCAATTAATAACATAAACATAGAACTATCATATAATAGAGGTCTAGTTGCAATCTTACTAAACTTTTGAAACTTAAATTTAGGGGACTGAATTGTAATATACCCAGTATCATCAACCACTAACCATCTGAAACTCCCCAAAATCTGCCGCCAACCTTCTTCACGAAATCCACCGCCACCGCTGCTGAAAATACATATCTCCACCCAAACGCCACCCTCACCTCCTTCGACTCCGCCATTGAGCTTCAAACCCATCTCCCTTGTTTGAATCCACGCGAAGTTCCTTTGTCTTCCGGCGCGTCTCAGACGGCCTTTTCCAAGGGGCGGTGTTGAGTTGAGAGGGTGAGGGAGAAAGAAGATGATCAGGATTTTAGATTTTGAAAATTGCTATTTGGTCCTTTGAATTTGAATTATTTATAATTACATCAAATTTAACATACATTTATGTATAAAAGGGTGTTTATGTCATTTTATCCCATAATTTACAAAAAGAACCGCACAACCCACGCGTGAGTACCACGAGCATCTCTAAGGGACTTTTTCGCCTTTGACTTTTAATCGGGGGGTTTTTATTTGCTAATTTTTATAAAACACGAACTTTTTTAGCAATCTTCATGCGTTTTCGATGAATATGAAAATTTGTGTGTGTGTGTGTGTGTGTGTGTGTGTGTGTGTGTGTGTGTATGTGTGCTCCTTCTTCATACACTTGTTGTATAATATATTAGTTGAATCTTATAGTTCAAGCACTATTTGCAGGTAACATCATTCAAGTGTGGTGGTTTTGCAATCGGCATGTCTACGAATCACATCTTATTCGACGGCCTAGGCGCCAAAGTATTCCTCCTAAACCTAGCTTCCCAATCTTTAGAAAACAAACCCTTAGCCATCGTACCCTACAATGACCGCCGGATTCTTGCCGCTAGATCTCCACCGCACGTTTCCTTCCCACACCCAGAGTTCCTCAAATTCGACCTCCCCGTGGGCCCGGGGTCAACTCCCCCAAAGTTCGACTGCATCATAGAAGAAATCGATTTCAAAATCTTCAAACTCACCACAACTCACATATCCCACTTAAAGGACAATATTACTAAGACCTCCAAAATTGACAGAATTAGCACCCTTGCTGTGGTGGCCGCCCTAATATGGCGGTGCAAAGCCTTTTTCGATGATAAAAATAGGGTTTCGACTTTGCTCAGCGTTATCGACATTAGGCCAAGAGTGAACCCCCCATTACCATATTCGTACTCGGCCAATGCAGTGCTCCCCTTGGGCGTTTCGGAAACTTGTGAAGAGATAAAAAACGGGCCGTTTTCGAAGCTTGTGGAAATCATCACCGAAGGAGCTAAGGAGATGACGCACGAGTCCGTGAAATCGGCTTTCGATTGGTTGGAGTTGAATAGAGGGATTCCTCATGGGGATTACATGGTGAGCTCATGGCTTAGATTAGGGTTTGATGAGGTGGAGTATGCATGGGGGAAGCCGATGTATAGTTGTCCGGTGGTGAATCATCGGAAAGATATTTGTTGGGTTTTTCGAGATGCCGTTGATAATGGTGTTTGTGCAATGGTGGCTTTGCCTTCTCAAGAGATGGACATATTTGAGGGTGTTTTCCACGACTTTTTTGCTTCAATATTGGTTCACTAATGATCGGACAATATATATATATATATATATATATATATATATATATATATATATATATATATATGTGTGTGTGTGTGTGTGTGTGTGTGTGCGCGCTCAGTATTGTTCTTCTTAGCTTTGTGATTTTATTGTTGTGCGTTTAATTGAGCATTTAGCACCGACCACTCCTATGTAATCTCTAATTGCAAAAAAAAAGTTTCCATGTTGTGTTTTGTGAAACATGCTGCCCCTTACATTAAAACTATTTGTTGACTTACTTGAAATGACAAAACTATCCTAATAAATATTAAACAATATTGCAATTTAAAATAAATAATGACAAAAAGAAAAAAAATTAAATTTTAAAAGAAAAGATAAGAAAAAAAATTATAGGAAGAATAGGAGAAAGAGAGAAATAATAATACGTAATAGAAACCTCCGTTATGTTATGAATTGATTTACATGGAATATATATAGAGAAATATTGAAAGGTATAGAGTTTAACTAGGTAACTAAATCCTAACTAATCTATACTAGCATTTTTTTCCCGTGCGATGCACGGGATATTATTTCAAAAATGAAAAAAATAATCAATTTAATACATAATAAGAAAATATAGTACACTACTGTTACCCCCTTAGTTGGTGATATCGGTAATGACTCGAGTGTGGCCGAGTCATGTCCGAGAATGGGTGTCAAGCAAGGGTTGGCACAAGACAGCCACACAATCGGCCAATGAATGGTCGAGTGTCGGGCAAGCATTCAGGGTGTTTGTCCGAGAAAAGCAAGGATCGGCTTGATCCAAGTGGGAATGGTGCTCGAAAGTACTAGTGGCTGGCACGGGCATTGCTCGGCAGCAAATGCGGACAAGCGTGGGCAGTAATCGGTATGTGGCCGATAACTTGGGCAATCGAACGTTCGAAGGAAATCGACCACGACTTGACACGTGTGGGCAAGTTGGCAAGTCAAGAAAGGCACAGCTCGATGTGCGGGCGTGCTAATGACCGTGTGGGCAAAGAACTGGCAAGTAATCGGTAAAGGCAAGCAAACGTGCGGAAAAGGCAAGGCAGATAGGCTGGCTAGCAACCGGCCGGGCTGTTTGGGCCGTTTGGCGCGCGCGGGCGCGCCCGATCAAGATGGGCTTCGAAAATCAGCCTTGTGGGAAGATTTGAGGGAAGTCACGGAGCAATTGCTCCTTATTACTTGTAATAGTTGGCCAAGTGTCATGTAATAGTGCTGCCATGTGTCCTTAGGTAATTTTATGTGAAAACTACCTTTTCCTTGTATTTATTTGGCGATGAGTGCACAAATCCGACCCATCTAGCATTAGAGAGTTCAGAATGCAATTGTGGGCATTCTGAGTGAGGATTTTGTGTGTGCACCTTAGTCTCCTTTGTATTCTTTGTGGGAAATTAATATAAAGGTTGGGCATTGCCCGTAAACGTGCTTGTGTGTTTGTTTTCCGCTGCATACTCTTGTGTTCGTTTACGTGGCTTAAAAAGACTTGTGTTTGTGTGCGTTTGTGCAAAGAGAATCGAGAGGAAGGCTGACTGATTTGGTGGGCAAATCAGGCCGCACGGGCGAAAATTTCTTGAGTAAAGAAACCCCTGTGACAGTTGGTATCAGAGCCCGGTTCAAGGGTTCTGAACGTGTTGCTGTTCGGCATGGCTGAAGATTTTGGATCTTCGACAAATCCAAATCCTACTCGTGTGATGATGCTAGATATGGAATCAAGACTGCAAGGTCTTGAAGCCCTGGTTAGGCCGCCCCTAGATCCAACGGATCCACCGATCTTACAAAAGCTCGCTGATGGGAAGCGAGAAATCGATCGTTTGTCAAGATCGTTGGACGATCTGCCCCAATTCGTGGAGAGCAGATTCACGTCCGTTGCCGAGGAGATGGGACTCCTCATTGATGCCATTGAGACGAATCTTGAGGGAATGCTTACGGGTTTGATGGTGTTGAAAAGGGTTGTTCGAAATGAAGGATCAAGTTCTGAGTGCAGAATGTCGGGATCCAAAGTTCGTGTGCTGGAACCGACTGCGTTTGGTGGTGTGCGCAGCGCCAAAGAAGTCGAAAACTTCGAGTGGGATATGGAGAATTACTTCGAGGCAGCCAAGGTTCCGGACCGTGAGAAAGTGACCATTACAAGTATGTATCTCGTGGGTGATGCAAAGTTGTGGTGGCGTGCTCGTTTGTTGGACGATGCAAGTGCCAACCGAGTGAAGATCGAAACTTGGGAGGTGCTGAAACGGGAATTGAAAGAACAATTCCTTCCTTGCAACGTGGGCTGGATTGCAATGGAATCCCTTAGGCAATTGAAGCACAAGGGAACCGTGAGGGAGTATGTCAAGGATTTCAGTTCTCTGCTCCTTGACATACGTGATATGTCCGATGAAGATAAGTTGTTCAACTTCATGGCTGGATTGCAGCCATGGGCCCAAACCGAGTTGCGGAGGCAAGGCGTGAAGGATCTGCCAAGTGCCATCTCGGCAGTGGATCGACTTGTCGATTACAAGGTGATGGGGGCCGATGATTCCGATAAGCAAGGCTCGAAGAAGGAGAAGTCCAAGGGAAAGAAGTTCGGTGGCAAGGGTGGCCGAAATTGGAAGCAGAAAGAGAGCGGTGATGGCGAGGGATCCCCGGCGCATGCCAAAACCGGTGGACAACCCGTCGTCAACAAACAAAACCGTGGATGTTTTCTATGTGATGGCAACCACCGGATGAGGGACTGTCCTAAGAGTGCGGGAGTCGGATAGTGAGGAAGATTCGGACGAGACGAGGCGTGCGAATCCGATTCAGTTGTTGAGTGCTTTGGTCGGGGACAAGGCACTCAACGGCACCAAGGGCTTGATGTACGCTACGGTGCTGATCAACGGCAAGGAAGTGAAGGCAATGGTTGATTCGGGAGCAACTCACAACTTCGTTGCCGATAGAGAAGTCAAGAAACTGGGCTTGACTCTCTCAAACATGCAAGTCAAGTTAAGGCGGTACATTCAGAGGCGGGGCCGTTGAAAGGCAGAACCGATGTCGATCTAGTGATCGGTTCTTGCAAAGGGCAGTGCGGATTGACTGACGTACCACTAGATGATTTCGATGTGATATTGGGGCAAGAGTTCCTACTTGCTGCCAAGGCTGCGGTGATACCATTTCTCAGAGGGCTAATGATTATGGACGAAGAGTGTCCATGCTTCGTTGAATGCTCATACGTAACGAAAGCAAAGGCGGGAAAGAAACCGGTGGCAATGTTGGTTGCGGTGCAATTGGAGGCAGAATCGAACGACGAGGAGTCATCGAGCCTAATTGCAGCCGTTCGAAATAAGACGGTGAATTCTCGGGCTGGTTTGCTTGTACGTGCATTGCCGAGAAATGAGACGAGGGCCGAAGGAAAGTTAAGGTATTCATTTGGGCTTATGAATGGGCATTGTGGCCTTACTTTTGTTCTAAGTTGCTGCCGTGTGTGGCATGATTTGCGGGTTCGAAATGTGGTATTTTCTGAATTTATGTGGCATGTTGGATTTTTGTTGGGCTGGTTTCCGTGGTGGATGAAATGGAAGCCGTGTTTTGGTGATTTCTATGGGTTGGAGGTCTCCTTTCTCGATTGGTGTGTTAGTCGAGATAAAATGCTAGTTGTGCAAAAAACTAGCATTTTCACTTGTGGTTTGGTGCTCCTGATTGAAAGTGATTGGCGTTCATTTTTCCGAGGGCTGAAAGAATTTGTGGGAAGTTCGTGGGATCAGACTTGGAATTCGGGTTTCGATGTGGTGCTATTGATCAATCACAATCGAAGACGGTGGCAAGACAAGCGGAAACGAGGGAAAGCTGAAGCCGATGGTTTCCGTTCGACGAGGGCGTCGAACACCGTTGGTGGAGGAGGTCTGTTACCCCCTTAGTCGGTGATATCGGTAATGACTCGAGTGTGGCCGAGTCATGACCGAGAATGGGTGTCAAGCAAGGGTTGGCATAAGACAGCCACACAATCGGCCAATGAGTGGTCGAGTGTCGGGCAAGCATTCGGGGTGTTTGTCCGAGAAAAGCAAGGATCGGCTTGATTCAAGTGGGAACGGTGCTCGAAAGTACTAGTGGTTGGCACGGGCATTGCTCGGTAGCAAATGCGGACAAGCGTGGGAAGTAATCGGTATGTGGCCGATAACTTGGGCAAACAAACGTTCGAAGGAAATCGACCACGACTTGACAAGTGTGGGCAAGTTGGCAAGTCAAGCAAGGCACAACTCGATGTGCGGGCGTGCTAATGACCGTGTGGGCAAAGAACTGGCAAGTAATCGGTAAAGGCAAGCAAACGTGCGGAAAAGGCAAGGCAGATGGGCTGCCTAGCAACCGGCCGACCTGTTTGGGCCGTTTGGCGCGCGCGGGCGCGCCCGATCAAGATGGGCTTCGAAAATCAGCCTTGTGGGCGGATTTGAGGGAAGTTACGGAGCGGTTGAGGCCTGGAAAGCATGAAAAACTGCTCCTTATTACTTGTAATAGTTGGCCAAGTGTCATGTAATAGTGCTGCCATGTGTCCTTAGGTAGTTTTATGTGAAAACTACCTTTTCCTTGTATTTATTTGGCGATGAGTGCACAAATCCGACCCATCTAGCATTAGAGAGTTCAGATTGCAATTGTGGGCATTCTGAGTGAGGATTTTGTGTGTGCACCTTAGTCTCCTTTGTATTCTTTGTGGGAAATTAATATAAAGGTTGGGCATTGCCCGTAAACGTGCTTGTGTGTTTGTTTTCCGCTGCATACTCTTGTGTTCGTTTACGTGGCTTAAAAAGAGTTGTGTTTGTGTGCGTTTGTGCGAAGGGAATCGAGAGGAAGGCTGACTGATTTGGTGGGCAAATCAGGCCGCACGGGCGAAAATTTCTTGAGTAAAGAAACCCCTGTGACAACTACCATAGTAAATTTAATAATGATAGTATTATTTATATTTTATATAACATTAGTTTTTTTATATCTTACATATTAAGATTTATAATCCAAATTCAATTTCTATTTTTATTGATGAAAAATAAGTGATTGATGATTGCTAAAAATTATGATTAGAAAATTAGTAGAGAAAAAAATATTAGAAATAAATAATTACCAAAGTATCATTAGGGTAGAATTCTTCACAACTTAGTTTTAATTTTGATAATTATTAAAAATTATACTTAGAAATTAGTAGAAAAAAAAATATTAAAAATAAATAATTACAGAAATACAATTAGGGTTTTCTAGGGTTGCCCAGCGTTTCTTTCTTTTATATATAAGATAACTGAATCTGCAGTCGAAACATGACGAACGTGAAGACTGGACAATATCACTTGCTAACATACTCCCGCAGTCGGAACGAATAAACTCCAAAAGTGAAGATTGGACAGAAATCGCGAAACACAACGCTAGAGAATTCCTCTATTAAAATATCTGCCCAATTGAAAAAAAAATAAAAAAAAAAATAATGACGGGAGAAAGAAAAATAGGCAATTTTTTTTATTTGTTTTTGTATGAATCGAGAGAGATTGAGAGAAGATATGAGAGTGGGAAGAAGAATAATTAAAAGAAGGATGGAGATAAAAAGGAGAGAAAGGAGATTAACCGACTAATAATAATAAGAAGAAGAAGAAGAAGAAGAAGAAGAAGAAGAAGAAGAAGAAGAAGAAGAAGAAGAAGAAGAAGAAGAAGAAGAAGAAGAAGAAGAAGAAGAAGAAGAAGAAGAAGAAGAAGAAGAAGAAGAAGAAGAAGAAGAACAAGAAGAAGAAGAAGAAGAAGAAGAAGAAGAAGAAGAAGAAGAAGAAGAAGAAGAAGAAGAAGAAGAAGAAGAAGAAGAAGAAGAACAAGAATAAGAAGAAGAAGAAGAAGAAGAAGACGAAGAAGAAGAAGAAGAAGAAGAAGAAGAAGAAGAAGAAGAAGAAGAAGAAGAAGAAGAAGAACAAGAAGAAGAAGACGACCAAGAAGACGAAGAAGAAGAAGAAGAAGAAGAAGAAGAAGAAGAAGAAGAAGAAGAAGAAGAAGAAGAAGAAGAAGAAGACCAAGAAGAAGAACAATACGAAGACGAAGAAGAAGAAGACGAAGAAGATGATGAT